AAATAACTAAAACAGGCAATCAATAAGATACAATTTATTGCATCACCAGTGTAGACAGACTGTCATAATTCATAAAAAGTTGTGAGGTCTATAGATTTTCTAAGATATTGGTTTAAAATTGAGCTGTATTTTCAAATTACTAAGTTTACATGAAACAATAGAATATACCACTATTGTTTTTTGAGTCAATTTAAGATGATACAACAATGTCAATATATATTGAAGGCACAAATGTATCTGGGTCCAGAATATAAAGCCACAAATGCTACAGTATCAGCTGTTATGTATAAAGGGTACTTATTGTTCTGCAGTAAGTAATGTACTTGTTTACAAGCTTATTCAACATATTCCTCTAAAAGTTTGTAAAAGCAGGACAAGCAATGGCATAAAATTGAAATGTTCAAGTTTTCTAAATATAATAAACCTATTCTTATTGATTCTCACACAGGCTCTTTACAACTGTAACAATAATTTGGCAAAGCAGAGAACACTTGCTCAAATGAAAGGGCTACCATTTTTAGTCTCCATGTAGCCCAACAGGTTGTTATTGCCAATAACAGAAAATCAGCATCTTCTCTAGTTTTCTCAAATGGATCACTTTATTCACTCTAAGGTTACATTGTTCGTTTCAGTCTGCAGGGCAACACAGACATAAAAAAAATTAATCACGTTTTTATGACAAAATAACTCTGAAAGTCACGCAAAATGTATATTTCTCTTAATATATAAATGCCTTTCCTTTCAAACAGTACTGCAAGGTAGGAAAGAAAAGGTAATTACCACATAATTGTATGACAGCAATTCGTTAGAAGTATTACTGCTGTATTTTGACACTGCATATAGTTTCCCTGACAGGAAAATTTCCTTCCCAGGAAATAAAGTTATATATGTATGTAGACTTGTGATGTGCATCTAGAGTTGACCTAAGTAGAGCAGACTTCCATTTCTTCTTCCACAGGGTGTGCTGTGTTCCTATTTAGAGGTCAATGGTGTAGAATAATGCTGGAGGGGCAAGAACTCCAAACAAACATGCAGACCAGATTTTTCTGCTGTCCTGATCTTACAGTTTGACCTGAGTGACCTAAGGAAGGCCCATTCCAGGTCAAGAGTGGAACCTTTAGAGATTTAGTTTTTCTGTGGGTTTCTGTGTTACCCTCCAGCTTTTCTTCTATTGAATCAAGAAGAGGTGAAGAGAAGGCACTGCTAGGATGTCCATGAGATTCAGCAAGCTTCTGGGTTTGATCCTCCTATGCAGTTCACAGCTCTGAGAGTAGCACCTCAAGGCTGCCTAAATATTAGAAAAAGGAGAACAGGTAGCCTGAAGCTACAAAGTGTAGAGGGGATACCAAAGTAGGCTCTTGCCCTAGTACTCCAGCAAGAATTGGGCATGGTACAAATTCTCTGCAACTTGATCCCCCTGCCTCTCATGCAGGGATAAACAAAAACTGAGGCAACATAGACACTTTGCCAGATGTAGTACACCAATGAATGCAAATAAAAAGGCAAGATTATCACAGACAACAGCAAATGACACAGATAAATTATAGCTACTTCTCTAACAGATTTCAGGTTTGTTTTCATTGATGTAGTGTTTCTTCTAAAACTGAGAAATAAATTTTGTTGGGCGGTACACGTGCCTTTACAGATTCTTACATGCTACAACTTGTCTCTCATCCAAAATGGTTTGTCAATGTCTTTTTTTATATATAATATTTGATTAGAATATAAAAGAAACTGAAATATCATTTTCACAAGCTTGTTTAAGTAGCAAGTGGGCTAACAGTCTGAAATGTCCCCATATATGTGTGAGAGAAAGGAGGGTCCAAATGGATCCCAATTCATGCATTCATAGGGCCATATGTGGAAGGGAAAATGAGCTATGCATAATGTCCAGTGACAAAAAAGACAGATTTTTAATACAAAAGTCTGCTATTATAGGAATGAAGAGAAACACCTTTATGGAGTTCATCAAGTATTATGTTAACTTGGCCACCCTCAGCATTTGTGGTCTATTACTGTACGTGGAGTGGGAGAAAAAGATTTTCCATTAACTTTAATGGTAATAAACACATTGGGATCATGATAACTCTACCTACTTACACCATCTGGACTGTGGCATCTTTTCTTCTTCCAAATAAAAGATTCTATTTGTTAAATGCTTTGTTCTCAACAGGAAAATCTAGTTTGGTAGGGAAGATAATTTAGATCTGTTAAAAACTGAAAAGAGAAGCAATATCTTTTATATATAAATTAACAGGTGTTCCTTTCCCAGAAATCATGTACAAAAGTCTATGTAAATCAGTGCTGAATGGATTTAACAAATATCCATTCTAGTATCTCAAACAATGCCACAGGATCTTAAAACAATGTGCTCTTTTCACCAGGTCCTGAGATGTCCAGAAGTTTCTCTAAAATGAGGGAAGCCACAAAGCCACACACTTCTATAGGTTGGTAAATGGACACAAGCTGGTTAGAGTGATACAAAGCTTTAACCTAAGATATTGCATCTGAGACTGTCAAAGACAATAACATCGAACATTACCAGTCCCTTTCTGAAAAAAAAATCAGCTCTAAAAGGAATAACATATCCCACACAAATCAGGTTGGAACAATATAAGACAACAGTCCACTTACCACCACATTGAAATGGGCTATCATTCCCTTGGCCAAGATGTAATTAAAGAGGCCATTTTGAAATGTTCACTATAGAAACAATTGCTCCAGTGTGAAAGGCTACTGCCCTTAGAGCAGCTTGTTCATATGCTTCTGCAAAAGGTTACCAGCAACCACATGAGATCCATCAGGACAGCAGGGCAGAGCCCCCTGCACCTGTTTCAGTGCAAGGATGGAGCAATTGCCATCAGCTCTGTAGCACATGACTGGAGAGACTGAATCCTGATCAAGTTTTTGAAACACAATTGCAAGAAACACAACTTAAGGTACAGCAATCAAAGAGCATTATTTTTAATACCGACAAAAAATAATTATTTCTGTGCTGGGTGAGTCAAGCCTTTATTACTAAACCAGCTTAAATTAAAGCAGGTGGCAAACTACTATGCTCTGTAACTGATGAAAGCACAAAAATCAGTTTCACAAATTATTCCTTAGCATTCCAGTTGTAGCAAGCAGGAGATTCAGAAAAGTTTATTTTAATTAAAAACTTTATTTTTCATTACAATTCACAGTTTATACATGGCAAGATGAACCCTTGCCATGTGGACATTCAGAACACTGTGCTGGGGAGACAAGGGTCTTTGTTATAAGAGCATTGCTCGGTGCTGTGTCATGGAACTTCCCTAGTTTTAAAAGCATACTCTCTGTAAATGTTAATTGACTGATATTTACACTGAATTTACATATTAACTTATATTTATTAGAAAACAAGCTAAGCATCCAAAAAACATTAACATTCATATCTTGCATGTAATCTAATGGTCAGAGATGCTGTAAGATTTGCCACTTGAATCATGCCCAATCAGTAAAGTCCCATTCTTTTTTTTTTAATTTACACAGAGCCTAAATTATTCTTTAAGGCCTGTTCTATTCATTTTATGTACAGCCAGGTCGCAATAGATTAACATAAGGAAAAAAATTCAAAATTATCCATTCCATCCTGCATTTCTTCTGAATCTCATGTACACCTATAAGCAAAACAGAAAATACAAAATTAATGTGTTTTCTTAAAACCGATAGAAAAAACCCATAGTCTGGTTTAGATCTGCTTCTCATCAGCTTATCCTGTCAGAGCAATCATCAGTATTCAGATTGTGCTATTTATCAGCTCTTCTTCATGCCTGCACTTATATTCAAAGCCATCTCTATTTGAAATGTAGAAAGTCACAGTGATACCAGTTTCAATTGCATTCCCACATTAGTCACAGCTCTGGCACAGGCAGACACTGTGACATCCAGGAAAGCACTCCAGCAGGATTCCTGGATAAAATATCTTGTGGCCTCTGGTGTGACTTGACTTAAAGAGGAAGTTAAGAATCCTTTTCATACCAAACACCTCGCACAAGGATATGCTTATTAAGAATAGCTGTATTTTTCTGCATTGTTTGCTGGATGTGATTATTAGAATACAGCAATTAAAAGCCTCCCATGCCTCTCATCAAACCAGTATTTTTTTATTTGCTCTTGTCATCTACCAAATAATTTAGTGATAGATAAGCTCCAGATTTTTTGGTACATTTCACGCAGAAAAAAACAACCGCTGAATACTGCTTGAAAAATAAGACCTGATAAGGGTCTGCAAATTCTACAAGTCAGTGTGAATGAGTATCAGCTGGACCTGAGTAAAACAAAATGCTTCTGGGGGATGTGTTTTCAACTTTTGAAACTGCAGTGCCTTTAAATTTGGAGCTAAGAACATCATCTGATGATTGTTGAGTTTTGGCATTCATTCATGCTGGTTGGTATCTTCATAATAGACACCTTTAAAACACCATTGTTTCAAGAAGAATGAAAACTTAAATGAAATACACTTCTCATGCAAAAAAGCCCAAACAAACAAAAATTGTACAGGAACTGTAGAGGTTCTGGTTCTTCAAAAGATAAGGCACTGACAAAAATTTCTTAGGTAAAAGGCTGCATAAGAATTTCTTGCCATTTACAAATGTGTTGTAGTCCAGAAATGGTCCATTCCTAGGCTCAGTAAGGTAGACCCTGAAATTTTAAGGACTGATCCCTCAAAGCTACATTATTATCATAAACAAGTGTGATTCATTCGTGAGGCCATATGGCACATTAGGAGAAGTGAAAAACAGTCTGGGCAGATAAAGGCAGAAGACATTGCTTATTCCAGCATCTTTCGGAAACAGAAGTGCCATTCATCTTTGTGTCTCTGAAGAGATGCGATGGTAACTCTGGACTGTAGTTTCTGTGGAACTCATGCACACATAGAAAATGCTGTTAGCACTGATCATCAACAGGGTGGAGAAAAAGGGTATATGGCTAGTCTAAGCCAAGAGCTTCCCAAGAGCTGGGATCCAAAGTCACAGCTACTTAATGTTTTCAATAACGGCTATCTCTTCTGCTGCACAGTGTGGTGTCAAACCATTCATGTAAATGCTGTCTGTCTTTGTCAGAGCTGGTAAGATGTCCTTCTCACTGGTGAGGTGGTTGACTGAGAGTGTTCTCTTGCAAGGAGTCAGGTCTTGATTGTGGTTGACGGCAAGTTCTGCAGAGAGCTTCCTTTTGATAGAGGTAGCCCTCTGGAACTTGTCATAGATCTCTACGCTCAGGCGCCTTCGCGTTTCTTTGAACTCAGCGGTGACATTGGCTGTCCACTCTGCAGCATGGGCTCTGAACTCCCCTACCTGCAAGAAAAAGAAGAAAAAAAATTGGAATCATTAAAGGATCAAGGACTTCAGACATTGTTTAGGCTCAAGAGCCTGGTGGGGGCAAAATGCATCTTTCAGCTGCCAAAATGCTGCTGCTGGCACAGATTTCTCATGCCAAAGACTCACTCTTTTATTGATAGCAACTAAACAAGAGGAAATGTTGCACTGGTAAGAGTTAACAATTCCAAAAATACAATAAAAATCTTTTCTGCTGACTTTATTTTTTTTATTATGGGCACTCAGCAATACCGGGAAGCTGCAGAGCCCTGACAGCTGCACAATACCCAGCTGGTCAGGGGATGCTGAAATCCCAGCAACCCAGGCTGTGCTATGTATTGTTACTAGGGTGTGGGGTTATTTATGAGCACTTTCGCTGTCTCTGGAAATATCCCTGGGAGACCTGGCAAAGAATTTTCTAAATTTAGACAGAAAAGCTTTTTTAAAGGAAGCTATCAGCTCCTTGTATCCTCTCTTTTCTGTGTGTAGGACCAATACAGCAATAGTTTCAGTCACCTCAGCAACATTTGATTACCACCCTGACTCCACTGAAATGAGACATCAAAAAGGAGCATCGAGACCACTGCAGCATGGGATTTGGAGAGCTGTTATCAATTCCACACAAAGGAAATGCAGGCTGCCAGTCACTGCTGCTGTACAATTAGCATGCAGCTGGAAGGGGTTTTTCCCCTGCCATGCTCAGATCTCCAGTCAGATTGGTTGTGAGGTTCCAGTTTGTAGCATCGTTGCCACTTCACAAATGTATGTAGATCCCTGCTGTCCTCTCAGTTCTTGTGCTCCAACTCTACATGTCCCTATATTGACAGTCTTTATGGCAATGGCTAATCCACTTTCACTGAAAATTACTGTAATTATTTTCTTCTTAAGATTCCTTTGAATGTTTCAGTACTTGGAAAACTGGAGCATCCCATAAGCCCAAGCCATGTGGATGAGGCTGAGGAGTGGGAAGTAGGCAGCTGCTGGCACAGAATCCCACATTGTCATTCTTCTTCCTCAGATATGGCATGAGGTAGACTGAGCAGCTCCTCCAGATAATAGTCTGAGGTGAACTATGGCCTTGTGATTTATATGACATTTATTTTTTCCTCTTGTATTTCAGCCAAACCACTGTTACAACAGTAAATAAGTTATACAGGTAACTAAAGGAGGCACCCTTTGAGGATATTATCTCTTCATAACAGCAAAGGAAACAGTTTGTTTCTCTTTATCTCTGCTCTGTATTCTTCTATACTTGGCAGGTATAGCACAGGCAAGTAGACTAATTTATGTGGATTAAATTCTCCTGCAATGCTTTCTTTGCTTTGGAATTGTATTTATCAGTAGTATAATTAGTACTGCTCAGTCCAGAATTTCAATCATTAGCAAGCAAGTTTGGACTCGGTAAGCACAGAAATATTTATCAGTAGTATCAGTAGCAAGTTTGGACTCGGTAAGCACAGAAATGAAAAAAAGAATTAATACAGAGAAATATGGGGGGTAAACCATCAGAGAAAAGTGGCCACAGGCTTATTCATGCTTTGCAGTGCAGTGGAAAACAGGAATATAATGAAGGTAAAAACTAATCAGCTCACCCAGGAGTGACAGGGTTTCAGGAGAACCTTCCCCCTCCAGAAACAAAACAAAAAGATCTCTTTACCCAGGGGTCATTTTATTACACTTGTCTCTGCTTCAGTGAATTACAGAGATGACAAATGTGGACCCATTATGTATATTTTCTAAAACAAGGACTATTATCTGTAATACACAGAGGAGTTGCCTCGCCAAATGATTATTAGTATTTAAATTGTGCAATTAGGATCAGACACACTGCATTTCAGATCTGAAAATAATGAAATCTCTAATGCTGAAAAATTTCAGCTACTACAATATTTTTATTTCTAGTAAACTGTATGATAAACAACCAGTGCACACCCTGGAGTAGTTTTGTCCTTTTTCTAAGCGTTACAAAAGGCAGGCTGGTCAGATCCTGGAGCATGCTTCTGTCTAGGGGAGCAAAGAGACAGTATACAGGTCTCTATTTTACCCTACATATTTGTACCCCTCACCAGCTGTGTAAGCATTTACCAGACCGGTTATTTTACTCAGGCACACATCTCTATCATTGCATATAGTCACATTCAAGGGTTGTTATCAGGCTGGTGGCTTTAAAATTGTGTCTTGGCAAATTACTGGAAGCTACAACCATCTTCTACTGTCTCCCCATATTCTTTCAAATCCTCCCTCTTTTTCAGTTCCCACTTCTTAAATGTTTTTTCCAGCAATGAAAAAACAACTGGCCTTGATTCTGATGAAAGTAAGTCTATGTAACCTCTAGGACAGGTTCAGAATGCATACTGGTCATGGATGTGTCTCACACAGGGCAGGCTGCTATATTCTCTTATGCATACACGTTATTCACGGGAATCTTAAAACTGCAGTTGTTGGGAGATCTGATGACTAAATTCTAATTAGATTTCTTTTGGGAAACAAGTTTATGCAGCCAGCTGAAGAACACCAATAAATAGACTTGTTCCAATTAAGGTGATGCGGAACATTAACATGGTGAACTCAATTCTATCTGCCTGTAGGGCAAAGCTGTGATGTTGGTTTATATTAAAATCATAGGAAAAAAAAAAAGAAAATGCAATGCTATTGCTAAACAGAGTTGAAATGCACCAGTAGTAAAACAGCGGTAGTAAACCAGCATGAGAAACTAGAAGCTCAATGCTGTGTGAAATGCCCCAAATCACTGCTTTGAGACCCGAGTTTTCGTGTGAACTGAAAGGCACTCAGAACTGTTGCCTCTTCAGAATAAAACTCTTAATTCCACAGCCCTTACAGACTCAAGCACAAAAGGTTATAGGAAAAGAAATGTGCAGTTTTTAACTACTAGTGTACGTAGGCAACTTGCTCATCTAATTTGATCCCTCCTTGATCCATAGGGACATTTCTATATATGTCCATGTTCTTTCTGTCCTTAGGGTATGACATTTTATTACACTGCATTACAGCTCCTCTTCATCTGAGTGCTGACAGCCACAAAATGTCTTGTGCAAATCCATTGAAATGCCAATTGCCTTTGCTGCTCAAAAAAAAATTAAATTCTTAACATACCTACCTACTGTAACAATTATTTACTTCTCTCCAATTCCCTTGCCTCATTACAGCACACAGCTCTGTAGACTCTGCAGCTGTCATAGTTGGGGGCAGTGTGACACGAGGATGAGGCCTCTTAGTCACAGAAATTATTGACAACTAAGTACTTAACATAAGGCTGAATGTCACAAAATATATCAAAAGTAATAGGAAAAACATGTCACAGTGATAGCACCTGACTCAGCCATACAGTAAGCAGCACTAATCTGTTGATGCTTCTCACTCCTAACCTTCACGGATTAGAAATGCCACTGGTAATGGGGACACAGCCCCTAGCCCAGCTCCAGGATTTACTTCCTCCACATCAAAATCCAAATTAGACTGCAAGGTGTTAGACATATTTCACAAGAAGTATCAACTCTAAGCTATCTACACTGAGCATTAACAGATAGTAACTTTATCATGTGTTTATGAGGCAGCATGCTACTTCCTCATGATTCCAGGGAAGAAAGGTCTCAGTAGTCAGGTCTCAACACAACTACATATTTCACACAGCACACTTCACCACACACACACCACCACCAAAAAGATACTTTTCTGTTTAATAAACAGCATTGACTCAATTCCTTGCCCAGGAAGCAGCTACCACTGCCTGGATATCCCATATGATCTCCATCATATTCAAGAGCCCTATGGGGATGTCTCAAATACCACAGGTCATCTCCAGTAGCATCCCCAAATGTCAATGCCAAGGTGTCTGCCTACCTGTGGTGGAAATGTCACATTTATTCTGCTAGGATATAATGAGAAATTGCCTCTGAACAAATTTGAAGCGTGTCTACTCACTCCTGTTAAAGCCACCTTTGGTTTTTTGAGAGGTTTGTGTAGTTAAAAACAGGCATCAAAAAAATACTGCATGAACTTCCTGAATGACTATACAGTTCCCAGGCTGAGCACACACACTATCACCAATATCACTTCTAGGCAGACATACTGAATTTGACAGAACTAGGTAAAAAACATGGACATTTAGTGACTATTCCTTCACCTACTCCTGCCAAAATCCATCTAAATGAATAATACCCTAGAACTGGCTAAGTCAGTATGTCTAGTAGGATCCAAAATTCCTACTCGTTTTCATTGCAATTATGTTTTAGTTTTCTCACTGTCTCACTGAGCTCCATGTGGATAGAGGCAAACAGCACAAGCCAGAATATAAGTATGTCCAAGGGGATGGTCCTGCTAAGAGAAAAAGCATTTCAACATACTGAAGCACCTGCGTCATTCTTCAGTACAACTTGTCAGGACTTTGGGAATCTTCCTGGACACTCCACTCACAAATAATACCAAATAATTATCCAAGCAAAATTGCCCACCATGGAAGAAGACCACTCATCCCATTAAGTGTGGCCTGGAAGGCACAAGCCATGTACCCATAACCTTTACACAAGTCATCTATACTTTGAATTAAGCCACATCTGTGATCTAACAGAAAAAACCCACCCCAAATACAAGCGTAATTAAGGACATCCTTAAATAGACCAAAATGAATGCACACCTGTCTAACATAGCTGCCTTAGTTTTGCTTCTCTGTCTCAGGGAGATTCTTGAAAAATCCCAACATTACAGCCAATCTACTTCTATTTACAGCAGGAAGAAATATATCCAACTTGGATGGAACTCAGATATATGACATGAAAGTTATGATATACTCGGGAGGAGCTATGCCACAGAGTACCAAGTAAGAAAAAAACCAGTGTTATATATATGTCATGAAATAAAATGAAAACATCTATTTCTAAAAAATGTGTGCAGCTTTTTCTTTCATAGCCATACTTTATGTTGTTTCCCTTTGGCATACAAGGCTCATACATTTTACAACA